AGGAAGTATTCGTTCTACCTAAAAATTTGGGTCGTGAGATTATTTTTATAGAGCATAATGAGAACAATATTAATATTATAAGTTTAATAACCTTGCGAGTATAATAAAAAATAATGTATATAACTAAGTATATATGTCACGTGTGTGACGGTTGATCGACGTAATTAATATAATGAATAATCGAAAATGTCGCAATAAATAAGTAATGCGATATATATAAATTATGCGAATGAACAATGAGAGTAATTATTTAGTAATAGTGTCGTAATGATTGTCAAATGCAAATGTATAAAAGTAATAAATTGTAAGCAAGAGAAAAGCACGTCTCCTGCATAAGCATTCTTTAATAAAAGTAATTACCCATTGATATACATATAAACTTGTCGTTTAATACAATAATAAATAAATAAACAAACAATAAAGCGAGTGTTCGAATCGTGTAATAACGACCCTGGGCCAGATATTCGGTATAGTTTACCCTATATCGTTTAACCACGTGACAATATATGATATTGTTTTAATTTATTTTGTTATCAGTTACATAATCAAAGAAAAATTCGTTATTAGTTACATGATACTCAGAGGCAAAGAAAAATTCGTAATTGGATCCAAATAAATCCAAATATTGCGAATTTGCCAAATAAATCTCTTACAGCTTTAGTAGAAGAGATTCAATTAATATCAGATAATATATATTAATAAACTCAATACGTAGTCAAATTTATGAATAACTTATTATATGTAATATAGTCTTAATTACTACCATAATGTCACGTCTAGCCTACAACGAACATAATATTCATCTGCAAAAGAATCAAAGATAAAATTTTCATTACTTTTACTATTAATAGATATATAAAGCTATATATTGTAAGTGTTACTTTCAAGAAATCTCACTCCATATAATAAAATCAGAGTGTTCACTTTTATTTTACCTCTTTGTTGTAATTGAATTTTGTGCCAGTTTTGTTACAGTTGCATTCTTTCATTTCATGTAAGATATTTTTCAAAACTAGCGGCATTAGTTGATTTCTCGCAGAAATTTAATAGTGACTTTTTAATTATTTTATAATGTAAACTTTGCGCTGTTGTGAAATAAATTAACTTGATAATATTTATTGACTAAAAATTTGTCTTGAAATAAAAAATATTCTTTTTTAAGTTAGTTAAATTAAAATATATTATATTGTATTAATATTTGTAATTACTTAATTCCATAAAATTCTGTAATCGCTTTTATTTAAATAAACTAAATTCTGAATCGACAGATATTATGTTTAAAACCAATAACCTAAATCTAACAAAATTGAGAAATTATTTTTGTAAAAAGTATTTTCTAATAATTTGCATTCATCATAACTAACTTGATTCTCATAAATTATTAAATCAATTAAAATAGTATTTTCACGAAGAGATTCTGCTAATAATTTTAACCCTTTATAGCCAAGCTGATTACTACTAAGATTCAAAGAAGTTAAGGTGGTATTTTTGCAAAGGGCTTCTGCTAATATTTGTCCTTCTTTAAAAGTAATTTTATTATTAGAAAGGTCTAGATTAGTCAAAGTAGAATTTTTACAAAGTGCATCAGCTAATGCTTTTACTCCCTCAAAAGTAAGTTGAATACCACGAAGACCTAATGATGTCAGAACTTTATTTTTATAAAGTGCTTCCGATAATGCTTTTACACCATCCGAAGTAATTTGATTACGATTGAGATCCAAGGAAGTTAAAGAGGTGTTTCTGCAAAGTGCCTCTGCTAACACTTTTGCACTTTCATCATCAAATTGATTATTATCAAGAATAAGTGATGTCAGATTAGTGTTTTTGCAAAGAACTTCTGCCAGCGCCTTGCTTACTTCAAAATTAAGTCGATTGTTACTAATATCTAAAGAAGTTAAACTGATGTTTTTGCAAAGTGCTTCAGCAAATGCTTTGCCTCCTTCAAAGCCAAGTTGATTTTTATAAAATTGTAAAGAAGTTAGAGTTACATTTTTGCAAAGAACTTCTGCCAAAAGTTTTGCTCCTTCGAAACCAATTTCATTATCCCCAATATCCAGAAAGGTTAAGACACTGTTCTTGTAAAGAGCCTCTACAATTGTCTTTAATCCTTCAAGCCCAAGTCTATTATAATAAAGTTCCAAAGAGGTCAGAGTAGTATTTCTGTAAAGGGCTTCTGCCAATGCCTTGCACCCTCTAAAACCAATTTCATTACAATCAAGATTCAAAGATGTCAGAGAGGTATTTATGTTAAGAGCTTCAGCGAATAATTTTACACCTTCATAACCAAGTTTATTACTAGAAAGATTCAGTATGGACAAAGTAGTATTCTCACAAAGAGCATCCGCTAATATTTTCGTCATCTTAGGACAAAGATCACAACTAACAAGTTTTAATGAGGTCAGATAGGTATTTTTGTAAAGAACATCCGCTAGTGTTTTAACTTCTTCAAAATTAAGCTTAGTCCCAGTAAGATCTAAAGAAGTAATTGAGGGGTTCGCATAAAGACTTTCTACTGACATCTTTACTATTTTGGGTGATATTTGATTAATAGATTCATCTAAATTTAAATATTTGATTTTTTTACTTGTTCGTAATAACATTGTAATTAATGAATATTCAACTACTTGAATCACATCCTCAAACTTTTTATATTTATCATAAAAATCATTAATGTTACGAGGTACATTTCCTTGACTACAAAGCCAACTTACGATTCCTTTTACTAAATCATAATAATTAATCGATGTATTATGAGAAGTATAATCAAATAATAGATTTTGATAATTCGATGGTAATATTTTAAATGGAATTAATGGTGCTTTTTCTTCACTATTTAATGATAAAAGGCATATTTTAATAATCCTTCTATCTCTGAAATGCGGTTCGCTCCATAATATTGGAATAACATTTCTACACCATTGACGATTTACAAGAAGGCAGGAAAATAAGAATCTATAATAGTCTTTAAGTTTATTAAATATTTCAATAAGGCATTCATTTGGTAATGCAATCATTTTGAAAAAATTTTGAAAAAATTTGAAAATTGTTGACGTAAACGAAATTATGCATGCAAATTAATTGTGATCAATCGTGATACAGAAGTTAAATTCGTGTGACATGTAATTTTACGTGTACGATCATGACTGGTTGAGAAATCTATACGTAACGATACTGTAACAATAATATATGTGTATTTGAATTGTCCGTACACGTGCAGTATGTTATGACAGGGAAAATTTTCATTCTGAATGTTGCTTAGGTTTCATGGTAATATAGTCCTAGTGTTGCCGAATAGAATAATAATATAATATACATTTAAAAATAGATACTATTTCTATTGTTTTTTGTCACATTCTTATATAAAATAAGTGAGACCTTTCGCTTTGAATAGTGTAGGAAGTGCAATTATAAATTATGAATCAACAACCATAAATACAAGTTGCTTTTATTATGTTGATCCATTAATAATAATTTTTTTAAAAATTCACTACGTTGAGAGTTTTATTATTAAATTCATTATATCGAGAGGATTTTATATAAACTAGTCTTAAGTCAAATTTCACTATAACGAGATTTTGATTAGCCTTCACTATATCGAAAGTTTACTATAACGAGAGTAACTTCCACTCAGTAAGAAATTAAGGCTTATGAAAATTATACTTTCTGGTAGAACATAAATATTATTTTCGAAAGCTACCGTATTTCCCAACATATGTACCCGGGGTATTTCCCTAACCCGTTTTAGTACCCGGGTACACATGTGGAGGGATATATTGTATGGATATGAATATGTTTTATTATGTTTCCCGAGTACAGAAGCATGATAGCATCATACTTAGGTACCTGGGTATAAGTCCAAAAATTGGCTGTCAAAATCGTTACAGGGTACATTGCACGGGGGGTCTACATGTTGGGTAAATACGGTATTTTGTACTTGAATCGTTTCTTTTTTAATTTGAAAAAGTATGTTTTCTTTCATTTTTCAAACATTAGCCTCTAATATTATCGTTATTGAATTCAAAAAAGCATACTTCTTTTTATTTTAATTGTTTATAAATAATAGGTTTCAAAATTTTTATAACTGGAATAATAATAATTTAGTAATAAAACTCAAATAAATACAAATATGTTAACTAATCAAAGGTCGAATGAAGGCAAATCAGGCTTCAACCGACATCACGTAATCCAGATATTTACCTGATTTGAAACAAATATTTAGGTTACAAATCGGGCTCATATAGGCGTTCAATACATATCGGAATGCCGATAGCTCTATAGGTAAATCGATAGAGCTATAAAGCAAGCTTTATCGATTAACCTATAGAGATATCGGCATTCTGATATGTATTGAACGTCTATATGAAAATATCTGATTTAAATCAAGTTCATATCAGGACTACGTGATGCCGGTTCGAGCCCGATTTGCTTTCAATCGACCTGTGAATAACATGCATAATACTAGTGTAACAGGTGGCGCGTAGCGCCACCCTCTTATTGCATGAGTGCCGCCAAGTCATCGGGCTTTCAATAATATATTGTACTGGGCATATTCCCTAAGAAATTAAATAGATTTTGTCCGATACAAAATATACTTGAAAGCCCGATGACAGGTTTTCCCTTGGCGGCACTCATATAGTATAAATTAAATTATCTGACAAACTCATATGATCATGGCGCAGTTTTGCATGTTATTTTTTAACGTTTTATGACGTAATGCCGAATATTCGAATTTTATACGAATATCAAAATTATCGGGTCAATATTATTCGGCAAAAAAATAATATTCGGGCCATATACAATTAAAATTTTCATAATTCAACAATTCAAGAAAATAAGCATATGCTTAAAAATGCAATTACATTCAATTAAAAATTATCAATCTAATATATTTCAAAATTCTAAAAATTGAAAGTGCAATTATAAAACGTATTTCCTGTTAAACATTTTTCAATAAAATCTTTATTATTTGAATTTTTTTCAATATTCTTAGGCTTCTCATTTCAACCACCCTTCTCACAAATATTTTGATTACACTCAGCAAGTACATGGCTTGATTCATCAGAAGATACTTTAAGATTATCAAGGCATTTGCCAGCAATACTTGAGAATCAGCCTGTTGAATATATGAACTTGCAAGTTTGAAATTGCCATTTACTGGAGCCAATTTTTGTAGACCTTTTGGCTTTTTATAGTTACTGGGGGCTTCATGCTCATTAGAGACTTTACTGTCATCATAGTCACTGGGGCCTTACTGTCATCATAGTCACTGGGCCTTACTGTCATCATAGTCACTGGAGGCTTTATTTGTACAAAAAAGTCTACATTATAAAAATGTAAAAAATTAAAACTAAACAAACACAATAAATTTTACCTTTTGAAACTTGCTTCAACATATTAAAAAATCTGGTAAGACCTTCATGCTGCATTACCAATTTTGGGCATTCATATGTGGTGAGACCTTTTTGAGATTTGTTTCTTGTAATCAACATCATGGCTGAATTGGAATACCCAAGCTTTTTTAACAATTGCATGGCAGTTTTTCTTCTGAAGTGGTTTGAGATATTACAGTTTCTGATTTGGATACTAGTAGTTTCACAAATGCTCTTGAAATATTCTCTTAATGTTTGCTCACCCAAACTATAAGTGTAGTACCATTGTCTACTCAATTCTACTGATAAATTAAAAAACTATTAGTAAATGAAATATTCATAGTTGAAAATTATAATCTATATTAAAAAGATTTTACCCAAATTTAAGGCCATCAGCTCTAGATAAAAATTTATTACAGTTATAATTGGGTACTTAGTAAAAGAAGAATCCATAATTAAAAACTCTTTCTGACGATCATCTATACCAAATTTTCTGGCTAATAAAAAATAAAAATTTTGTTGGAGATAGTAGATGAAGCAGACACCTTTTACTACAATGGTTTGTAAGTAAAATGTCTGAGGTCAACCTTCTCTATTCGGGAACTCCTTGCTTACTTTCAGCATGCAAGTCAAAAGCATTCATACACAAGATAACTGGCAAGTAGGAAGTGCCCTTGTGTTGAAAATTTTGATGGCAATTTGGTTTTTGTCTATCGACAAAGTTGTTTTAGTGTTCTGGCTCCCTAGGTGGACAACAAATGAGTTTTTCATCACCTTCTCTAAAGACTTTGGCTATCCTGCATCCGTTTTTATCCTGTCAGTGTTTTTTTTATAAAATTTTTGAAAAAATTTGGGATTTGGCTACCCCCTCCAAACGATCAACATTGTTTACCACTTCCATTTTTAGAAGTTGACATTGCGATGTGGCAAATTAGGGAAACAACAAACACGTGTGGAACATGTGGCAATTTTTATTATTAGATTTAATTCGTGAAGGAGTTTATAGTTAGTTTTAGATGCTTTCATTAGTATCATATAAGATATACATCATTCCAAAGTTACATGTATAATATTTTTTTAACCTGGCATGGGTTATAATAGTGCTTTCGTCATTTTTTTTCTTCTTTTTTTTATCCTGTCTTTTTTTTCTTTCTTTTTTTGTAGGTTTTTTATGTGGTTTTTTTTGTGGTATTCATTTTGGTATTTCCTTTTTTTGGTTTCAACTTCCCTTTTTTTTTCTTTAATCTTGAAGTTTTTTCGTTGAGTAGTTCTTTCTACTCGAGAAGTTAGGAGGAGAAGATTTAGGGTTCAAAAAAGAGAAGGCAATCATGATGGCCATAAATACCACTCAGTGATATATTAGATTTCTTTGTTAGAAGAGTTTAGTATTGAGAGAAAATTTTACCATAGCAGATCACATTTGGGTAATTTAGACTTTTGTCATATAAGACTCTCGTTGCAAAGAGCCAGATGAGTCAATACTTGTAATTTTAGGAGTAACATGTTTAGATCAGTATTAAAGTTAGCTCACTCATGAAATAGATATGAAATAGATATGTGAGTTTTATGGCTAATAAAGTATTGGCATGATTGCCGAAGTTAAAAAAAAAAAAGAAGAATCCATAATTATTAATGATCCTTTTAATGTTGGTAAGCTGATTATCTCAGCATGTGTATTGTAATCTCCAAGTCTCTATTGATTAGTTTTAGATCTATACTGTTTAATATTAATTCCACTATCAAACTTTTTAACAAAGTTGTTAATTTGCAAAGTATAAGATTTACCCTATATAAAGTGTTGAATTAAAAAAAATTCTTCATAACAAGCCTTCTGGCATATTACACGCAATCATGGAGTGGTTTAATATTTGTTCAACTTTATTTAACATCAGTGTATCAGCACAAACTCATTTGCCCAGGCCTTTCAAAGAAAGGTTCTTTAGTTTTCTATTAATTACTTGATTAAGATTGAAATATATTTTTGGATTAAGTATATCCACAGGCTTTTGCATTATTGAGTTTTTATTAAGATGTCTCCAGATTGCTGTCATACAACTTCTAATAGAGGTTGCATGATACTCTCCACTATACTTTTGTTCTATTGTGTATATAAATCTTGACAACTAATCCTCAAGAACTATTTTTATATTTCTTCTTAGATCTTTTCTTTATAAGCAACCTCAGAGTGAAACAATTCTAGGGCCCTAATCTACAGTTCTGTTGCTTTGTAAGTCACTTTAACCTTTCTATTATTTTAAATGTTCTTAAGGTTATTTATAGAGGGCTCTGTATACTTATTACACTAATAAATGTTGTGTTAATATATTTTTTATATAACAAAATATGAAAAAAATATATATATTATTCACCTTTATCTTACTGTCTTTTTTTGTGTTTAATTTAGTTTTTGGTATTATTTTCAAGTGGGTTTTTATAATTTCTACTTATTTATAATTCTAATAGGCTTTACAGTTTAAACTAGACTTTACTATCACTGATTCAAGTAGCTTTATAGCTTCAAAAGGCTTTTACAGCTTCAAGAGATGTTATATAGACTTTACAAGTTGATTAGAAGCTTCATTCGTCACAACCTTTTTGTAATTACAACTATTAGAAAATTTAACAATGCCACTTTCACTTCCACCAAGACCTTCAACTTAGAACTCAAACTTCCAACTTATGTGTATTTAAAAGAATCTTAAATACTAAAAAAAGAAAAAAAATATTATTTTTTTTTGCTTAAAAAAATTCTTTTTTGTAGTATAAAAAAAAAGATATTTAAATAATAATCTACAATCTTTTTTTCTAGTTCTAAAATTATATTTATAGGGAGAAGAATTAGCCACTATAATCATAAATTATCGAATAACACCATTATTAAGCAAATTTGTGAATATAGCAATTTGGCTCAACTGAACAAATAATTGTCTAATATCTGCCACTTCGCAGCACATATTAGCCAATCATTTGCCCAGTTGAGCCAAATTGCCATTATTCACAACTTTTTGCCTAATAATGTATACTTATCTAATTTTACTATAAAATATCATGTTTTCTATTATACAACAATTGTTACAGAATTTACAGATACATATTATATAGTTAATATTAGTTTGTATTGGAATTAGTATGAATTATATCATATACTACTGTAAAAATACTGTTATATATATTCTGTTATTACATAGTATTAAAATTTGCATCAAAATAAACATGATTTTATTGTGAGTTATTGTAAAGAAATCCTGTTGCTATTCTCGTAATATACAGTATGTAATCATGTTGAGTTAATTTGCATTGTGCATTACTATAAGACATTCTGCTTACTATTCTAGTTACAGATTTAAAGCATAAATACCTAATACCTAATAGCTAACTATTTGTACAAAAATCTAATTTAAGCAAAATATATTAGAAGTATATTAGATAAAAAATAAGTATCTAATATTCAATACAGTCGACCCTCTCAGAACCGATCCTGTCAAAACCGATATCCTACCAAAATCGGTTAAAAATCAATCCACCATACCCGTTCCATAAGTAATAACTGATAACCTGCCATTTCTAATATCCGATAGTCTTTATAAGGCGTAGCATTTAAGTTGACCAATCATAATTGAGTATACTTAATACTGATATTTTGAATTGAAGTAGTAAAGTATTAACAAAAAACAATTTGTTCTAATAAACTTGAATCAGAGAATAAAAAGGCCTTAGCAAGTATATCTTGCAAGATTTAGAGAAGAAAAAAGCATTAATAGATACACTTATATGAACATTTTTCTAGCTTATAATATGAACATAGATTAGAAGAATGAAAGCATTAATCAATGCACTTTGTAGAAACAATCCCTAAAAGGATTGAATCTTTGAGATATAATCTGATCTAGTTAAAATAACTATCTGGATATTTATTAATCTACCTTTTTTAGCATACAAATATTGGTTAAAAAATTGAATTAATATCTGAATAAATTCAAATACTTCTAGTAATTTGGCATATTATATTTCACATGGTAATTTTATTCTTTTTTTTTATTTTAAATTAAAGGCTGGATTGATGAAAAAGCATTTAGCAGATGCACTTTGCAAGTGAGCCAGACTAAAATTTATAATCAATATTTTGTATATAATTTTCAGAAAAGCAAGTTATAAAAATCATAAATCAGCATAATAAGAAATTAATAATAGATATACAGTATAGATTATTTCAAATATTTCGATTAATAATAATAATAACTGAATTGACTTGAATAAAAGATTGTTCATCAACCAAATCAGTACAGGTGTTAAAACTAAAAAGAAGTTTATACATTGCTTTTGAATACTTTGATTAACAAATTATTTATACTTTTTGGTTAAATTAACCTAAATAAGTGACTTAATAAGAAATGACAGATAATTTATAATTTTACCAGAATAAAATAACTTAAGAAGCAGCAAAAAAATTTTTGTCATACTTTAGACTATACTTACAGACTAATTCAATATTAATACAGTATAAAGAAATAACTTATTTTAAATACATCCACTATTATGATCATCACCACTTGATCAATAAAATAAAAAATTAAATTAAAAATGAATAAGCGTAAAATGATGGTATTCTTCATTTTGAATGTCATGATATAAATTGTAGTAGTGATTTCTTCTTTTGATCTAATAATTTTACAATATTGAAATGAGATCAATATAATATGATTTAAAAATAATATATAAGTGTGAAATAATACTCTGGGCATTATTTTGAAAATTGGGTTGAAAACAACTTATATGGTCTCGAATTAGTATTGTTGTGATCATACACTCTATATGTAGATTATTCTCCAGAATGAATATTTTATAAATACACCTTTATTCAACAACATGCATTTATTGAAAGTCAACTATAGGGGTGCAGTGGTCCGGTCCCGA